CGTGTGTGCCTTTCCTTCGATTTCTGGAGGCCTAACAGCGAAGGACACCCACTACCCTCTCGGTTTTCCACACCCAAAGGTTAACCAGTGATACCCGTGTTGTAGAAATGAAAATACATCCCGTTTTCAACCCGTTTTCAACGATGTGTGCGACGCCCAATATATTCTGGGCATCACTTCTACTCCTTTCGGTACGTTTTCTGGACGCATCAGCTCTTCGGTCACACAGGAGGAAAAACCACACACGGGTTGTATTCTTTCTTCGTTCTCCATCTTCCATGCTTGCCTTTACTTTTATGGCGAGAATGTTTCGGCCGCTCCTATCCCTCGTCGACCGTGACCCGAAATCGTTGCGTACACATAATAAGTTGATCGCCTTAATTGTTTGGGCATATCCCTCGTCGACCGTGACCCGAAATCGTTGCGTACACATAATAATAAGTTGATCGCCTTAATTGTTTGGGCATGTTGTGCTCGAAAAATCTCAGTTCGTATTGCGGCGTCGTGACTCGAACCCACGTCCAAACATCATCAACGTTTGCGAGGTTACCAACTGCAGCATGTCAGCCATTGTTGTGTGACCACGCCAACGGTGAGAACAATGAAGCCGTGCGAGGGTCTGTCGTGTCCTGCACCCTAGTTGACTAAAAACAAGCACATTTGGCTCACAGCAAGGATCTCTTTGAGAACTTTACTTTGCTCTCTTGATAATAAAAGGGGAACGGGTGTTTTGAAGTCCTAGTGAAGGGCTTAGTGCCGCCAGCGGGAACAGCAAAATCTGTTGGTGTGTGTTCTGTTCGGAGCCAGGTCTCGAGCCAACAATCCTCAATGGAGAGCGAAGGAACGAAGGCGGAGGGATCAACTAACAAACTCGTCGTCATCGCGGGAAGACAGCATTGTACCCAATCCCAGTGACCATGAAAAAGCAAAACAGACTATGGACTCGCCTGGTTCATTGGGGTGGGAGAGTATCGTGTGAAGGTTTTTTTCGTTTTGTGGTCATGCTCCTACATCATCTATTTCATATAGTGCAGCTTCCGAATGTTTGGGGCAATTAACTCTCCATTTCGAGCATATTTTGTTGGCTCTTTGCTCTACCGCCTCTGGGCTTGTTTTCTGTTGGTCTAGAACCTACGCTTCTTCGTGAGTGTTGGGCTTTCTCTTGAGTCTTTTTTTTCTTTCCAGTCTTGGTGGGCTGCCGGCCACAGAAAAAAAATTCTTTGCCTTGATGAGTACTGTATGAATGAAGACAACGACAACGACAACGACGGCACGCATAATAGAATGGAAAACCACTGACAAACAAACGTCGAAGGGTACAAAAATACATCGTGAAACACAAAAAATTGACTAGTCTGTAAATACCGAAAAGTCTTCATGGCGACATAGCTAATTTTTTTAGGCTTTCCTCTCTTCCTACCGCACCTACTAAACAAAATGAGTGTATGTTACTCGCCAAAGACAACGACTCTATAACTCGCCAACGAGGTTTGACTACTACATAATTCCCATGCCTGGAAAACAAGCATTGTGCCTCTCGGGAACAGTGAACGGCGAGCCGGACAGAGTGCGTTTCTCGCGAGTAGCTGCCGGGAGGCCAACCTCGAGTTGTCATCTGCGAAACCGACCCACGCCAACAAACGCTCTGGGTGTGCTTGTGAGAGCGGATTTGCACGCAATAGTTGGACAAAGTCGTTCCACCAACGTGACAACGAAAACATCGGCGAAACCAAGCTTGGCGAAACACGACAAAAATTACTCACTAAACCGCAAAACCTGTAAAAAAAACGTTTTCGTGGCGCGAGGATCAGATTTGCTCTCACCAAGTCCGTTCCACCAACAGGACAACGGAAACATCGGCGAAACCAAGCTTGGCGAAACACGACAAAAATACTCACCAAACCGCAAAACCTGTAAAAAAAACTCTTTCGTGGCGCGAGGATCAAATTTGCTCTCAGATGGTTGCCCTTTTGTAAGTTCCTCTGCTACGTGTTGCCCTTATCCCAGGTAAGGAAACAGTTTTTTTTTGGGTCGATGTTCTTCGTGTTGGTGGCTTTCGAGCCTACTTCATGGGTATCATCCAACCCCTGTTTCTTCGCGAAAGTCTGTTGGCCAATAACCGTTTTCAGACGTTGTTTGTCGTGGTGCCCGCCAAAGTGTCGCCGGTATTCGCACACACACGCCTTCTGCTTCTTTATTTGCCTGGACGGTGTGATATCATCTAGGCTACCTTGTAGTTTTCTCTGATGTTACCATACACCTGCTGTCGGTATAACGAGGTCTGCACAAAATCTGATCGAAGTAACAACGCGTTTTACAAAAAACACAAGGTACTCTTTCGTGGGTGACTTTCTTACCCCGTCATGAGCAACAAAAACGAAATATTCGCATGAAGAACGGAAAAAAGCAAAACACACAAAGGGAGAAGGTCAAAGCCTACCCAAGCTCTCACGACAACAAACTAGCCAACAAAAGCACAAATTAGTCGGACGCGAGCACGCGAGAGAAGACCACTCACCACGTGATTCTGCGTGCTGTTGGACTCTCAACCCTGTACCATGGGGCCCCTGTCCATCCGACACAAAACATCAGGCCTTCATCTGCTTCATTTTCCTTGTCCACTAAATTCTGTTTCACGGTGTGCCCTGTTTGCACTAGCCAGAAAAAATTTCAGCGGTCAGTGGGCCTTACGCAATACTGATGAATTTTTTTCGAGCGTACGTTCTTCTTCGACGAACGGTAGGCTTGATTCTTCAATCTTCTCATATGCGTCAATTTGGTTTGTTGGCGTTTCATACACTCCACAACACGTGGTGGTATTACCAAAAAGCGGCATATCAGCATTTTGAGCGAAGGTCAATAAACTCGCAAGCATGCATTGCGATGGTCGATGGTCCTGGCTATCAAGCTTAGCGTCACGTGGTGAAAACGCTCGCCCAATGATTGTAATTCGGGAACAGAGTTCAGTGACTGCAGTCTGACATGTTATTCGATGGAGACATCAACTTGTACAACAACAACAACATTGGGCAGCCTTAATTCAATTCACGTCGGCGCCAAAATTGTCAAGGTCGAAAGAAAAATCGAGTCCACTTCGCCGAACTTCTAGTCGCTCACCCCACATTCCGAAAGGAGTCAACGAACAATTAAGAGCAACAAACCGGCTGGTTCAATGTTTAATGCGTCCAGTCTATCCCGATTGTGAGGTTTGAAAGCAACGCACCCAGCAGACTGCCTTAGTAACATACAAGGGAGTGTAGCGCCAGCTGCTGCAAACTCCGGCGGGTGAGAATACCGGGTTGCTTTTCCCGTTCCAAACACTGCAGTAGCACATAGTAAAATGTACGCTGCTGCAGTATAACAGTGCAAAAGAGTGCGGAGGTCGTAGTTACTTCATCATATCGGCTGCCAAAGCGGCATATACTTTCACGATGGAGGGCAGCATTCAACACAAACTTGACCCCATATTGTTTCCGGGCCCACAACGCGCTCTTGAAGTACATCTTCAAAGCCACGACAAGATCTATCGCTTGCATCCGACTAAATTTAGATTTTCTTATATACAAAAAACACCCTCAATCCAGCTCCGTGTTTTCATTACTCTTCTCGAGTGTGTGCGTGACAGAGAGTCTGCAAAAAGTCTGCTCGCGTGTGTGGGTAGAGTAGTTGGGGAACCACCTAAAACGGCGGTGCACCCCAGATTTCGAAGGATGTGGCCAATTTTCTCGACGCAGCGAAGCGCTGTCCGGCTGTCCGGAGGTTAATAATAAATCAAGACAGGTCCAATGCCTCCGCCATAATACGATTCTTACGGAGAAAAGTATTGTTTTATTCGTGTGCGAGTTGCATAGCTCGCTCGACAGGGAGAACGAATGGTACACCTTTCAAGGCCAAAATACGCTGCAAATGCCCCGAGTTGTCTGTGTGTATAAAGTACGCCATTAAGGTTGTTGCATACCAGTTGTTGTCTGACCCAGGCATCTTTTATTTGTGATCACAGCTGCACTCACCCTACAGTGTGAAAAAACGAAAAGTAACCCAGTCCTCAAGAATAGTTTCCTCAACAGCGGACCGAAGAAATGACCTGGCTCATTCACTCCGGGAACGCGATACACGCCGCCGACTGCCTCCCGGTCAACATCCACAAAAGGGCACCTCTGTGTTTTGGTAGAACCTGAAATTCGATTTTCGCAACTGCATGAACCATAGACTATGATGCTGCTCGCGACAAACAAGGTAGTTCGAAGTATAATCGTTCTTAATCGGGAATAATTTTACCGCAGCGAACACGGGCGATTTCACCACGCCAAACAAACGACTCGCAGTAGTTTGCTGAAATATTGCGGCATTGCCCCGAGACATGGTCCGAATACAAATCTCCTATGTACTGGGAATCCTGATGATGTTCGCTCTTCTCGTGCATTGGGTGCGCCCCGATTGGTTCCAAAGGACCCTTTGTACACCAGCGTTGCCGATGAGTGACGGGCTCGTCTATCCCGTTGTACCAACTCAAATGCCTGGATATCCACCACAATCCTTTTTTCCACAAAAGCCAATAGTATGGTCGCGTTGCATCATTGTTACCACCGTCATCCTTCAACATTCTCACCCTCACATCGTTGAACACGTACTCTTTCTTGGCATTTCCATCAACAGAAAACCGGCTCGTGGGTACCCTCATCATAGAGGCCGACCCTCAGTTCGGTGGCGGCCAGCTTTCGGCGTCGGGCACGACTGAAAGCGGCGAGAATTTTTCCCTGTTTCTGAACGACACCACGTTTCGGGTCCAATCTGGTGGCAACGCGAGCATTCTATCCGCCAACTCGATTAACGCCAACGACGCCGGAGGAAGCTTGTCGCTCTCTGCTGGTGACGGGGTCAACCCTATCGGGGGAAGCGGCGGGGGCGTTTCAATCACCGGTGGGGGCGCTGAGGGACTTGAGGCCTTCGGGGGGGACGTCGGCGTTGGCGGAGGCATAGAGGTCACCGGTGGCTCTTCCATGGAAGGCAAAGGTGGAGGCGTGAGCATCAGCGGGGGCGCTAGCGAGAGCGGAGAAGGGGGAGATATCTTTCTCGCCAGCGGGTCGAGCGAGGGCATCGCTTCCGGGCAAGTGGAAGTTGGCTCAGGGGTCGGCCAGGGCACCGCTTCTAGCGGCGGCGTCTCCGTTTCGTCTGGTGAGTCTCTGTCAAACAGCACTGGGTCCCTCGTCCTCGGAACCGGTGCGGCCACGAACGGCGAGGCCGGCTTCATCAGCATCACCGTCGGGGCCACGGGCATCGGTCAAGGTTCCGATGTCTCCGTTACGGCGGGCGAAACGACCGACACAAGCTCCAACGGGGGAAGCGTGCGCATCAACTCTGGATACGCGTTCAACGGCTCTAGCGGCGGCTTGTACCTACAGACGGCCAACAGCGGCACCGCGGGTTCTAGCGGGAACCTACTTTTGAGGACGGGTGCCGCGAGCGCCGCGGACTCAGGCTCGATCTCGCTGATCACGAACTCAGCCGTCGGCGGCAAGGGCGGACAGATCAACCTCGCGGTCGGCAGTGGTGACAGCGGGGAGGGTGGTTCCGTGTACATCACCGCAGGTAACACTGCCGCGCCTTCATCTGCCGGAGGAGGCGTGCTGATTACGGCTGGTGCGGGGACGGACACAACGTCCTACGCCGGCGGCTTAGGTGGTCCCGTAACAATCACGGGTGGCGAAGCGTTCGGCCAGGGACTTTCTGACGTGGGCGGGATGGTGACTGCTACGGGTGGCTACGCTGCGGCGAGCACCGGCGGTGCCCTGCTCCTTTCCACGGGTGTCGGCAGGCTTACTTCGAGCGGCGCGGCGACATTGACCACCGCAAACGCCGGGGCCTTGGGTGTTAGCGGAATGGTGAAGCTTCTCACCGGAACGTCCTCAGCCGGGAACACAGGCGAGATCCTGATCCAATCAGGTTACGCTACGGGCGGCGGTGGAGGAGACATTCGCATGTCCGTCGGAAGTGGCGATTCGGGAGTGGGAGGGTGGGTGGTCATCGACGCAGGTACGAGCAGCCATCAGACTGGTGGAGGGGTATCGATTTCCGGTGGCTCGGGAACGACAAGCTCTAGCGGCGATATCCTGATTCGAACCATGAATGCGGGCCCAAAGGGCGTGTCTGGGTCGATCGTCCTGAGCACGGGACAGGCCACCGACGGAAGTGCCGGAGATATCGAGTTTCAGACAGGATCCTCCACGGATGGAGATGCGGGTGACATTGTCTTCAGCATCGGCGGTGCCGACCTGGTCGGCTCCGGTGGCGATATTGAGTTTATGGCGGGAAACACGAGCGCCGTGGACGGTGTTGGCGGAGCTGTATTGCTCGGTGCGGGCGACGGGACCAACGCAGAAAGCGGTGCTGGCGGCACTGTTTCAATTTCTGGTGGCGGTGCTTCAGGAACGGAAGCCGGCGGCGGCGCCGGAGACGGCGGGGCCATTGTCCTTGCCGGCGGATCCGGTATCGACGGTGCTGGCGGGGCGGTTTCTCTGGTGGGCGGTACGAGCTCAACGGGTACGGGAGGCACAATCGAGCTTCGTAGCGGCGCAAGTGACGTGTCTGCCAGCGGAGCCGTGTACGTGTCTACCACAAACGCAGTTGGTTCTGCGTCGAGCGGCTCCATCGCCATCTCCACTGGGACTTCCAGCAACGGCGACTCTGGCACGGTGCTGCTTGGCTCTGGAGAGGCGGTAGATGGGGCCGGAGGCGCTGTTGGGGTTTTCGTCGGTGCGGGTGGCACTGGCGACGGTGGAGATCTTTTCCTGTACGCTGGTGACACTTCGGCTGTCGGAGCGCGAGGAGGCACCGTGTTCGTTACCGCTGGCGAGGGCTCCAGCGTCGACGAAGGAGACGGGGGTGACGGGGGCCACGTCATTGTGCAGGGTGGAAGCTCGAGAGGAACGTCAGTGCTGGACCGCGGCGGGACCGTAGAGATTGTGGGCGGTGATTCTGTGGCTGGCCGGGGCGGAGGGATCAGCGTCCAATCTGGCACAAGCGTCGACGGGTCCAGCGGTCCCATTGCTCTCACGACATCTCCATCAGGATCTGACGGTGCAAGCGGTGACGTTTCCGTGTCCACCGGTGAGTCCTCTGCAGCCACATCAGGATCTATCTTTGTCAACACGGGTGCAGCCACCGCTGGAAGCGGAGGGTCAATTTATTTGTCCGTCGGCGAAGGTGATTACGAGGACGGCGGAAGCGTTCAAATTTCCGCGGGCATGACAAGCGCCGTTGGCGGAACGGGTGGGCGTGTATCTATCGAAGGCGGGCAAGGATCGAGTCCCCATCAGACTGATGGCGGCAACGGCGGAGAAGTTAGCATTATAGGTGGCGCCGCTAAAGGTCAAGCAGGTAGCGACGACGGTGGCCGTGTAACTCTGGACGGTGGCAGGTCCTTCGCCGGCAGCGGTGGTGACGTGTTGATCAAATCTGGTTTGAGCACGCTGAGATCCAGCGGATCCATCGCGGTGGACACTGGGGACGCCGGCGCACAGGGATCTAGCGGTGATGTGTCTATCCGGACTGGTACCACGAGCTACGGCTCGAGCGGCAGCGTTTCCCTTTCGACAGGGGATGCCCAGATTGGAGGTGGAGGACACATTGCGATCCGCGTGGGCGACGGTGACTCGGGAGCTGGCGGAGGCATCGAGCTAACGGCGGGCACCACAATCGACAAGGCTTCCGGCGGAAATGTCCTTATCGCGGGCGGGTACAGCAGTCATACGTCGAGCGGAACAATCATGCTACGCACTATGAACGCAGGGGGTGCTGGAACTAGTGGGGGGCTTCTGCTCTTCACGGGAACCTCCAGCCGCGGCGGGAGTGGGACTGTTCAACTAGTCACAGGGACTGCCGAAGACGGGCCTGGTGGCGATATTCTCGCCGCTGTGGGATCTGGACACACCGGAGACGGGGGTGACGTCATCCTGGCAGCTGGAGAAACAAGCGCGCTGGAAGCGGCAGGTGGCGACGTTCTCATTGTTGCCGGGGAAGGAAGCAGCCGGGACCGTTACAACGGCGGCGACGGTGGAAGCGTTCAGATTTTCGGCGGAGCGGGTCAAGGAGGCGCCTTGGGAGACGACGGCGGGAACATTGAGCTCTCCGGTGGATTCTCACGCCGAGGCAAGGGCGGGGAGATAAAAATCCGGACCGGTTACGGCGAGCACAGCTCAAGTGGGCCCATGCGCTTATCAACTGCGAATGCCGGCGAATCTGGAACGAGCGGTGGCATGTTTATTCACAGCGGCACATCAAGTCAAGGCAACTCTGGGGCGATCCGCTTTGAAACCGGCCAAGCCGTTCACGGTCGTGGCGGCAACTTCGAGGTAAGCGTCGGGCCCGGCGACTCCGGCGACGGGGGCGACATCACCCTTGTCGCCGGAGATACGCACGGGGACAGCGGTGGTGACATTTCAATTCGCACTGGACACTCATACGGATCGACCAGTGGAGATCTGATTCTGCAAACCGTCAACGCCGGACAGCACGGGAACAGTGGGCGAGCAGTTCTTTCTACCGGTCACAGTCCCGACGGCGGTTCGGGTGCGCTTGTTCTTAACACAGGGGACGCTGGTGGTGGTCCTGGTGGCAACATCGAATTATTTGTGGGGACTGGTGCGGAACAAAACGGCGGGGCTGTGATGTTGCGGGCTGGAGATTCCACGGCGAAAGGAAGGCGTGGGGGTGACATTCTGATGGCGGCGGGGGATGGGCTCAGCACAGCGAAAGGGAACAGCCACGGCAGTGGTGGAGATGGCGGGTCCGTTTTTATTGATGCAGGGCGAGCGGGTGGATTGGACGCAAAAAACGATCCGGGTGGGAGTATCGAACTCATTGCAGGTCCCGCAGCTGCCGCCACTGGTGGCTCCCTCCTCTTGCAGTCGGGTTCTGGCGAAGCGTCATCTAGCGGGCAAATCGTCATCCTCACACCCGATTCTGGGCCAACCGGAGTGAGTGGAGACGTCATGTTGTCCACGGGATCATCAGCCTCCGGTGACGCTGGATCTCTACTTTTGGGCACTGGCGCAGCGGTGGCGGGGGCCGGGGGAGCCGTGACAGTTGCTGCAGGAACTGGATCGGGCCCCAAAGGAGGTGCCGTGAACATCACTGCAGGCGAGTCCAGCGCTCGGCTAGGAGTCGGCGGTGCGCTGTCACTAGCAGCTGGTGCCGGCACGAATCGACATGGTGCGGGCGGCGGACGAGGAGGTAGCGTCGATATCGAAGGCGGTGAAGCTAGCGGTGGAAAACCGACGGATACAGGAGGAACGGTGAGTTTGTTAGGAGGATCCGCCGCGAAAGGTACTGGAGGGTCCATCGTTATTGCTACCGGCGCAAGCAAAGACGCGACGAGCGGATCGGTGCGGGTTGTCACCGCAAGCGCAGGCCGCTCTGGCTCCAGCGGGTCCATTGCAGTATCCACCGGGAATTCCACTCGTGGTGAGTCAGGAGAGCTGACTCTAGCAACCGGGCGCTCGAGTGCAGGCGCGGGAGGCGGCATAGCCCTTGCCGTTGGACCTGGCACTGCAAGAAACGGTGGCGACGTGAACATTTCCGCAGGGGCAACCGAGTCTATGTCGGGCCATACAGGAGGCGCAGTTAGGATTCAGTCTGGCCAAAGCTGGCACGGGTCCAGTGGTGGCGTGGGTGTTCACACCCCAAACGCTGGGAAAAACGGAAAAAGTGGCAACGTCCGTCTATCCACGGGAGGTTCGCTGTCTGGACCCGCCGGGTCAGTCCTTTTTTTAACTGGAAACGCTTCCACCAGCGGTGATATCGTTGCACGGGTTGGTATTGCAGGGGCTTCGGATGGCGGCCAGGTCAGGATCACGGCTGGTGATACCGAAGGTTCTGCCAAAGCGGGTGGCGCGCTACGACTGCAAGCGGGTCAAGCATCTCATGGAGAGGGAGGGGACGTATTGATATCGGCTGGGACAGGAACAGGAGACGAGCGACACGGTATCGATGGGGCCGGTGGTTCGGTCAGAATCAACGCCGGGCGAGGCACGGTCGGTCCTGGCGGCGGAGTTGAGATTTTCGGCGGGTCTTCTGACGATGACCAGTCGCGTGGTCGTCGCAAGGATGGCACTAGCGCAAGTGAAGCGGGCGGAGACGTTACTCTCAAGGCGGGATCGGGCAGTAAAGGTGCAGGAGGGAAGCTAGTAGTTCGCCCCGGAGCAGGGGGAGTTACCAACGGGACGGTCAACATTCAGGCATCGACAGGAGTGGGACGCATCGTCACTTCTGATGACAGCGTCTCTCTGTCCAGTGGTATCGACGGCGGGATCTATCTGGCGGTACCCGCGGGTGACAACGCCACGAACAACGTTATTGGATTCAGCATTGACAACCCCATGGACGACAATGTCGAGTACGACTTCCGGTTGCAACAATTCGAAGGCGGAGAATCGCGCGTGGTGTCCAGCGTCCCACTCCAGGTCACGACCATCGAGTACTCGTCTGACGAGCGGATAAAGGAAAGCATCGTTGACGTCGATGTTGACGACGTTCTCCAGCGTTTTATGGAAGTGGAGATGGTGGAGTACGCCTACACGGAAGAGTGGCGCCAAGCTCGAAACTTGGGAGAAAACGCTCGCGTCCGAGGCGTGATCGCTCAGCAGCTGGCCGAGGTCTTTCCGGAGCATGTGGAGGTCATACCCGAGTTCGAGCTGCCCGACAAGGACTTTGCGATCAGCGATTTCCTCCAGGTGGACAAGGTCTCGCTTACGCTTGATCTCATATCCGCCATACAGTCTCAGCACAAGCACTATAGCTTTGGACCAAACACCGGCGACAAGAGTGGCGACATCACAGTCGCCACCGAAGCTGGCGGATCATATGCGAATGCTGACCCTACCGGTGCCAGCGGTTCGGTTCTTATCTCTACCGGTACGGCCTCATTGGGTGACAGTGGATCGATCACCCTTGCCACCGGACCAGCAGCAGAAGGGGGCCAGTCTGGAAATGTCAGTATCCAAGTAGGTCGCACCCTTGAAGACGGCCCCCAAGTCCAGATGACGGAGTTGGGCGTCCGCGTTTCCGCCGGGCAGCAGATCGATCCTTTACAGCCCGGACGTGCGGTCGAGATATCTGCAGGGTCAACGACACCTTTCGATGCAGGACCTTCTGGAGACGGTGGAGCGCTAATGTTGCTTTCGGGTAACAGTACTGGAGATGGTGGTACGGGAGGAAGCATCGTGGTGAGGCCCGGGAGAGGCGGACTGCTGAACGGTACCGTTGAGATACAGTCGTCAACGGGAACCCAGCGTATCGTGACTACGGAAAACGACGTGAATGTGACCAGCGGGAGCGACGGCGGGATCTATCTGGCGGTACCCGCGGGTGACAACGCCACGAACAACGTTATTGGATTCAGCATTGACAACCCCATGGACGACAATGTCGAGTACGACTTCCGGTTGCAACAATTCGAAGGCGGAGAATCGCGCGTGGTGTCCAGCGTCCCACTCCAGGTCACGACCATCGAGTACTCGTCTGACGAGCGGATAAAGGAAAGCATCGTTGACGTCGATGTTGACGACGTTCTCCAGCGTTTTATGGAAGTGGAGATGGTGGAGTACGCCTACACGGAAGAGTGGCGCCAAGCTCGAAACTTGGGAGAAAACGCTCGCGTCCGAGGCGTGATCGCTCAGCAGCTGGCCGAGGTCTTTCCGGAGCATGTGGAGGTCATACCCGAGTTCGAGCTGCCCGACAAGGACTTTGCGATCAGCGATTTCCTCCAGGTGGACAAGGTCTCGCTTACGCTTGATCTCATATCCGCCATACAGTCTCAGCACAAGCACTATAGCTTTGGACCAAACACCGGCGACAAGAGTGGCGACATCACAGTCGCCACCGAAGCTGGCGGATCATATGCGAATGCTGACCCTACCGGTGCCAGCGGTTCGGTTCTTATCTCTACCGGTACGGCCTCATTGGGTGACAGTGGATCGATCACCCTTGCCACCGGACCGTCAGAGTATGGCGGCGAAGCCGGAAGCATCCGCCTTCGTGTCGGAGAGGAGAACACAGGGTCTACCACGCTCAGCATATCACCTTTGGACATGCATCTATCAGCTGGCGATCAGACTGAGCCCAACAAAGCAGGAGGAACTATTGAGATATCGGCGGGGAACGCTTTACCACCGGGGGGTGGTGACGTGTCAGGCACGGGCGGCTCGCTCATACTCAGAGCGGGGAACAGCACAGGCACGGTAGGAGGCGGCGGATCCATCGAACTGTTGGCTGGCTCTTCCCAAGGAGGTGACGGTGGTGATATGGTTCTATCCTCTGGGGCTGGAAGCACCTCACTGAGAGGGAGAGACAGTGGTCACGCCATTTTATCGACGGCCGACGCACAGAATGACAGGGGTTCCAGCGGGGAAGTGCAAATTGAAACTGGCTCCAGTTTTTCTGGGGACACGGGAGCAATTCGCATGAGTACTGGAAACGCCACGCTCGGATCAGGCGGGGGGGTATCCATGGCGGTTGGCAATAGCGCAAGCGGAGCCGGTGGCTCCGTCGAATTTTTCGCTGGGAACACTACCGCTGATGACGAACCCGGAGGATCAATTGTACTGTCGGCGGGATCCGGCACGAGCAGAGAAGGTGGTGGTGGGGGGAATGTTACTCTGACCGCCGGTGTAGGATCTGGGGGAATAGGCGGATCTGTGTCAATTCTAAGTGGAGAGGGTGTCGGTGCAACAAGTGGTGCAATTGACATTCGCTCGCTTGACGCTGGTGCTGCCGGTGTTAGCGGATCGCTTGCGCTGCGCTCAGGTTCCTCGGGGTCGGGTAGCTCAGGATCGATTAGCATTGGTTCCGGGCAGGCGGACGGGGGAAGTGGCGGCGCGGTGGATATTTCAGTTGGCAGCGGCAACAGTGGATCGGGAGGAACGTTATCGCTGCGCGCTGGTGATACCTACTTGTTCACGGGTGGTGGTGTTTTACTAGAAGGCGGACGAAGCGAATGGAGTAGTAGTGGAGAAATCCTCATCCAGACGGCCAACGCTGGGTTTGTCGGCACCAGCGGGTCTATCTCACTCAATACGGGAACTTCAAGCAGAGGAAACACGGGAGAAGTACTTTTGGCTACTGCTGAAGCACAAACTGGTCGAGGTGGATCCATTACTCTCGCGGTTGGAGCTGGTGCAAGCGGCGACGGTGGTAGCGTCAGAATGCTCGCCGGCGGCAGTTCAGACTTGGAGCGAAGCGGAGGATCCGTGGTGGTTGCCGCTGGCAAGGGCACGAACCCCATATCTGGCGATGGTGGCGACGTTCTCGTCGAGGCGGGAGAGAGCGCTGCATCCACAGGAGGGTCGGTTGCTATCTATAGCGGGTACGGACACGAGGCTTCAAGTGGAAACATCTTGATGTATACAGCTAACGGCGGGCAAGAAGGTGTCAGTGGGAGCCTCACCTTCATGTCTGGCGTTAGTACTGAGGGAAATAGCGGAGCGATTGTCATTGAGTCGGGGACTGCTGAGGACGGGCGTGGAGGTGCGATCCACGTGTTGGTTGGCAGCGGTGGTAGTGGGGTGGGTGGTGAGGTAGTCGTGCGGTCCGGAGAAAGCACGGTCGCCACTGGCGGGGACGTGATGATCGAAAGCGGGTACGGTACGGCAACGACGAGCGGTGATATCTACGTTCGAACAGTCAACGCCGGCCGCAATGGCGGAAGCGGCAACCTATACTTTACGACTGGAACAGCGAGCTCGGGCGGTGCGGGAGATATAGTCCTCGCGACCGGAGATGGACCACAAGGCGGAAGCGTTTTAATCGAACTCGGCGTGTCTGAAAGCGGTGAGGGTGGGGATGTCGAAATATATGCTGGTTCAAGCGCGATTGCAACTGGAGGCGACCTGTTGCTTCAGTCGGGGTACTCTTCTGCCAGCACCAGTGGTGCCGTTTACATCAAATCAGCGAATGCAGGAACATCTGGCACAAGCGGGGTTTTGGCTTTCAACACCGGCACGACTAGCAACGGAGATTCTGGTGCGATCACGCTCACGACCGGGCTAGCCCTTAACGGGAAAGGAGGCAATATTGAGCTCGCTGTTGGTGCCGGAACGAGCGGAGCAGGAGGCGACGTTATTCTGAGCGCAGGTGCTGCCGGAACCTTGACCGGTTTGACCGGAGGTTCAGTGTCGATCACCTCTGGACTAAGTCAGTACTCTTCAAGCGGGTCAATATCGATTCGAACAGTGAACGCGGGGATCAGCGGGGTGAGCGGCATCCTGGAGTTTAGCTCGGGCACCAGCAGTAACGGCAACAGCGGCGAGATCCTATTGGGGAGCGGGATGAGCACAGGAGGGCGTGGCGGGAAGCTCAGCCTTGCAGTCGGGAGCGGTGACAGTGGATCCGGCGGATCGGTAGAAATCTACGCAGGAATAAGTACGGCAATGACAGACGGGACAGGTGGGGATATCTCCATAACCAGCGGCGCAGGTACGGCCACTAGTAGCGGTTCCATTGTTGTTCGAACAGCAAATGCTGGAGTTGCAGGGACAAGCGGCCTCGTGACGTTCAGCTCCGGCACGACGAGTGCAGGCAACAGCGGCGACATAATGATTGGATCTGGATCCAGCACCTCCGGCAGAGGTGGGATGATAAGCTTGACCGTCGGTTCCGGTGACAGTGGATCTGGCGGTCTGATACAACTCCATGCGGGAGAAAGTACGGTGCTTACGGGAGGGGCCATCGACATCGTTAGTGGGGAGGGAGCTGCAACAACGTCGGGAGCAGTAATAATTCGTACATCAAACTCCGGTACTCTAGGGGCCAGCGGCTCCATGACCTTCAGCTCCGGAACAACAACAGCAGGTGACAGCGGCGACATCATGATTGGCACCGGCGCCGCTCTGGGGGGCACCGGAGGTGATCTGACTCTGACGGTGGGCCGCGGAGACACCGGCGAGGGCGGTCAGGTCGAGATGGCGGCCGGTGCGTCGACCACGGCCACCGGAGGATCGGTGACCATCACCAGCGGTGAGGGCACGGCGACCACCAGCGGTGCGATCACCATCCGATCGCCCAACGCCGGCGCCGAGGGCGTGAGCGGCGCCATTGTGTTGAGCTCGGGTACCACCAGCTCCGGCACCAGCGGTTCGGTGCTCATCGGAAGCGGCGCGGCGGTGTCGGGAGCTGGCGGAGCGGTGAGTCTGACGGTGGGCACCAGCGCCTACACGACGGGCGGGACGCTCACGTTGGCGGCCGGCACGGGTGTGACGGGCGGTCCTGTGTCGATGTCAGCCGGAACGGGCACCACGTCTACGGGCGGGTCGGTGAGCTTGGCGGCGGGCGCAGGGTCGACGGGCGGATCGTTCACGGTGGTGGCCGGACAAGGCACCGGGACGACGGGCGGGGCGATCACGGTGACGGCGGGTGCAGGAGGGACGGACGGCGGCGCGTTGATCATGGCAGCAGGATACGGTGGTGACAGTGGTGGCCTCGTGGCTGTGTCTAGCGGGGCCGTGACGGACGGGAACAGCGGGACCGTCACCATCGTCTCCGCCAACGCCGGTACAACCGGCCACAGCGGTGTCATGGCCTTCAGCTCCGGAACAACCACGTCGGGAGACACCGGCGCCGTCAACATCGGTAGCGGCGCCGCTCTGGGGGGCACCGGAGGTGATCTGACTCTGACGGTGGGCAGCGGAGACATCGGCGAGGGCGGTCTGGTGGAGATGGCGGCCGGCGAGTCGACCACGGCCACCGGAGGATCGGTGACCATCACCAGCGGGGTGGGCACCGCCACCACCAGCGGTGCGATCACCATCCGATCGCCCAACGCCGGCGCCGTGGGCGTGAGCGGCGCCATTGTGTTGAGCTCGGGTACCACCAGCTCCGGCACCAGCGGTTCGGTGCTCATCGGAAGCGGCGCGGCGGTGTCGGGAGCTGGCGGAGCGGTGAGTCTGACGGTGGGCACCAGCGCCTACACGACGGGCGGGACGCTCACGTTGGCGGCCGGCACGGGTGTGACGGGCGGTCCTGTGTCGATGTCGGCCGGAACGGGCACCACGTCTACGGGCGGGTCGGTGAGTCTGGCGGCGGGCGCAGGGTCGACGGGCGGATCGTTCACGGTGGTGGCCGGACAAGGCACCGGGACGACGGGCGGGGCGATCACGGTGACGGCCGGTGAAGGAGGGACGGACGGCGGCGCGTTGATCATGGCAGCAGGATACGGTGGTGACAGTGGTGGCCTCGTGGCTGTGTCTAGCGGGGCCGTGACGGACGGGAACAGCGGGACCGTCACCATCGTCTCCGCCAACGCCGGTACAACGGGCCACAGCGGTGTCATGACCTTCAGCTCCGGCACAACCACGTCGGGAGACACCGGCGCCGTCATGATCGGCAGCGGTGACGCCATCGGCGGACAGGCCGGTCTGTTGAGTCTGACCGTGGGCGACACGAGCTCGGGGGAGGGCGGCGACGTGACCATATCCGCCGGTCAGTCGTCCGAGCTGTCTGGAGGGACCGTGACCATCACGAGCGGGGTGGGCACCGCCACCACCAGCGGTGCGATCACCATCCGATCGCCCAACGCCGGCGCCGTGGGCGTGAGCGGCGCCATTGTGTTGAGCTCGGGTACCACCAGCTCCGGCACCAGCGGTTCGGTGCTCATCGGAAGTGGCGCGGCGGTGTCGGGAGCTGGCGGAGCGGTGAGTCTGACGGTGGGCACCAGCGCCTACACGACGGGCGGGACGCTCACGTTGGCGGCCGGCACGGGTGTGACGGGCGGTCCTGTGTCGATGTCGGCCGGAACGGGCACCACGTCTACGGGCGGGTCGGTGAGTCTGGCGGCGGGCGCAGGGTCGACGGGCGGATCGTTCACGGTGGTGGCCGGACAAGGCACCGGGACGACGGGCGGGGCGATCACGGTGACGGCCGGTGAAGGAGGGACGGACGGCGGCGCGTTGATCATGGCAGCAGGATACGGTGGTGACAGTGGTGGCCTCGTGGCTGTGTCTAGCGGGGCCGTGACGGACGGGAACAGCGGGACCGTCACCATCGTCTCCGCCAACGCCGGTACAACGGGCCACAGCGGTGTCATGACCTTCAGCTCCGGCACAACCACGTCGGGAGACACCGGCGCCGTCATGATCGGCAGCGGTGACGCCATCGGCGGACAGGCCGGTCTGTTGAGTCTGACCGTGGGCGACACGAGCTCGGGGGAGGGCGGCGACGTGACCATATCCGCCGGTCAGTCGTCCGAGCTGTCTGGGGGGGCCGTGACCATCACCAGCGGGGTGGGCACCGCCACCACCAGCGGTGCGATCACCATCCGATCGCCCAACGCCGGCGCCGTGGGCGTGAGCGGCGCCATTGTGTTGAGCTCGGGTACCACCAGCTCCGGCACCAGCGGTTCGGTGCTCATCGGAAGCGGCGCGGCGGTGTCGGGAGCTGGCGGAGCGGTGAGTCTGACGGTGGGCACCAGCGCCTACACGACGGGCGGGACGCTCACGTTGGCGGCCGGCACGGGTGTGACGGGCGGTCCTGTGTCGATGTCGGCCGGAACGGGCACCACGTCTACGGGCGGGTCGGTGAGTCTGGCGGCGGGCGCAGGGTCGACGGGCGGATCGTTCACGGTGGTGGCCGGACAAGGCACCGGGACGACGGGCGGGGCGATCACGGTGACGGCCGGTGAAGGAGGGACGGACGGCGGCGCGTTGATCATGGCAGCAGGATACGGTGGTGACAGTGGTGGCCTCGTGGCTGTGTCTAGCGGGGCCGTGACGGACGGGAACAGCGGGACCGTCACCATCGTCTCCGCCAACGCCGGTACAACGGGCCACAGCGGTGTCATGACCTTCAGCTCCGGCACAACCACGTCGGGAGACACCGGCGCCGTCATGATCGGCAGCGGTGACGCCATCGGCGGACAGGCCGGTCTGTTGAGTCTGACCGTGGGCGACACGAGCTCGGGGGAGGGCGGCGACGTGACCATATCCGCAGGTCAGTCGTCCGAGCTGTCTGGTGGGACCGTGACCATCACGAGCGGGGTGGGCACCGCCACCACCAGCGGTGCGATCACCATCCGATCGCCCAACGCCGGCGCCGTGGGCGTGAGCGGCGCCATTGTGTTGAGCTCGGGTACCACCAGCTCCGGCACCAGCGGTTCGGTGCTCATCGGAAGCGGCGCGGCGGTGTCGGGAGCTGGCGGAGCGGTGAGTCTGACGGTGGGCACCAGCGCCTACACGACGGGCGGGACGCTCACGTTGGCGGCCGGCACGGGTGTGACGGGCGGTCCTGTGTCGATGTCGGCCGGAACGGGCACCACGTCTACGGGCGGGTCGGTGAGTCTGGCGGCGGGCGCAGGGTCGACGGGCGGATCGTTCACGGTGGTGGCCGGACAAGGCACCGGGACGACGGGCGGGGCGATCACGGTGACGGCGGGTGCAGGAGGGACGGACGGCGGCGCGTTGATCATGGCAGCAGGATACGGTGGTGACAGTGGTGGCCTCGTGGCTGTGTCTAGCGGGGCCGTGACGGACGGGAACAGCGGGACCGTCACCATCGTCTCCGCCAACGCCGGTACAACGGGCCACAGCGGTGTCATGACCTTCAGCTCCGGCACAACCGCGTCGGGAGACACCGGCGCCGTCATGATCGGCAGCGGTGACGCCATCGGCGGACAGGCCGGTCTGTTGAGTCTGACCGTGGGCGACACGAGCTCGGGGGAGGGCGGCGACGTGACCATATCCGCCGGTCAGTCGTCCGAGCTGTCTGGGGGGGCCGTGACCATCACCAGCGGGGTGGGCACCGCCACCACCAGCGGTGCGATCACCATCCGATCGCCCAACGCCGGCGCCGTGGGCGTGAGCGGCGCCATTGTGTTGAGCTCGGGTACCACCAGCTCCGGCACCAGCGGTTCGGTGCTCATCGGAAGCGGCGCGGCGGTGTCGGGAGCTGGCGGAGCGGTGAGTCTGACGGTGGGCACCAGCGCCTACACGACGGGCGGGACGCTCACGTTGGCGGCCGGCACGGGTGTGACGGGCGGTCCTGTGTCGATGTCGGCCGGAACGGGCACCACGTCTACGGGCGGGTCGGTGAGTCTGGCGGCGGGCGCAGGGTCGACGGGCGGATCGGTCACGGTGGTGGCCGGACAAGGCACCGGGACGACGGGCGGGGCGATCACGGTGACGGCGGGTGCAGGAGAGACGGTGGGTGGCGCCCTGAGCATGGCGGCCGGGTGGGGTGACTCGGGAGTCGGGGGTGACCTGAGTGTATCAGCTGGGACAAGCGCTCACGATGTCGGTGGTGCGTTGACTATGGTAGCTGGCACCGGAGCCACAGGAGGCGGCCTTGTGGCTGTGTCTAGCGGGGCCGTGACGATCGGGAACAGCGGGACCGTCACCATCGTCTCCGCCAACGCCGGTACAACGGGCCACAGCGGTGTCATGACCTTCAGCTCCGGCACAACCACGTCGGGAGACACCGGCGCCGTCAACATCGGTAGCGGCGCCGCTCTGGGGGGCACCGGAGGTGATCTGACTCTGACGGTGGGCAGCGGAGACACCGGCGAGGGCGGTCTGGTGGAGATGGCGGCCGGCGAGTCGACCACGGCCACCGGAGGATCGGTGACCATCACCAGCGGCGAGGGCACGGCGACCACCAGCGGTGCGATCACCATCCGATCGCCCAACGCCGGCGCCGTGGGCGTGAGCGGCGCCATTGTGTTGAGCTCGGGTACCACCAGCTCCGGCACCAGCGGCTCGGTGCTCATCGGAAGCGGCGCGGCGTTGTCCGGAGCTGGCGGAGCGGTGAGTCTGACGGTGGGCACCAGCACCTACACCACGGGCGGGACGCTCACGTTGGCGGCCGGCACGGGTGTGACGGGCGGTCCTGTGTCGATGTCGGCCGGAACGGGCACCACGTCTACGGGCGGGTCGGTGAGTCTGGCGGCGGGCGCAGGGTCGACGGGCGGATCGTTCACGGTGGTGGCCGGACAAGGCACCGGGACGACGGGCGGGGCGATCACGGTGACGGCGGGTGAAGGAGGGACGGACGGCGGCGCGTTGATCATGGCAGCAGGATACGGTGGTGACAGTGGTGGCCTCGTGGCTGTGTCTAGCGGGGCCGTGACGGACGGGAACAGCGGGACCGTCACCATCGTCTCCGCCAACGCCGGTACAACGGGCCACAGCGGTGTCATGACCTTCAGCTCCGGAACAACCACGTCGGGAGACACCGGCGCCGTCAACATTGGTAGCGGCGCCGCTCTGGGGGGCACCGGAGGTGATCTGACTCTGAAAGTGGGTCGCGGAGACACCGGCGAGGGCGGTCTGGTGGAGATGGCGGCCGGCGAGTCGACCACGGCCACCGGAGGATCGGTGACCATCACCAGCGGCGAGGGCACGGCCACCACCAGCGGTGCGATCACCATCCGATCGCCCAACGCCGGCGCCGTGGGCGTGAGCGGCGCCATTGTGTTGAGCTCGGGTACCACCAGCTCCGGCACCAGCGGTTCGGTGCTCATCGGAAGCGGCGCGGCGACGTCGGGAGCTGGCGGAGCGGTGAGTCTGACGGTGGGCACCAGCGCCTACACCACGGGCGGGACGCTCACGTTGGCGGCCGGCACGGGTGTGACGGGCGGTCCTGTGTCGATGTCGGCCGGAACGGGCACCACGTCTACGGGCGGGTCGGTGAGTCTGGCGGCGGGCGCAGGATCGACGGGCGGATCGGTCACGGTGGTGGCCGGACAAGGCACCGGGACGACGGGCGGGGCGATCACGGTGACGGCGGGTGAAGGAGAGACGGTGGGTGGCGCCCTGAGCATGGCGGCCGGGTGGGGTGAATGGGGAGTGGGCGGTGACCTGAGTGTATCAGCTGGTACAAGCGCTCATGCTGTCGGTGGTGCTTTGACCATGGTAGCTGGCACCGGAGCCACAGGAGGCGGCCT